GTCAGCGACGGCGGGGACCGCTCCGTGAAGGCGTTCGACCTGGAGGGCCGGGGCACGCTGGCCGTCCGAGAGGGCTTCTCCTTGCCCTGGGGCTTGGACGTCATGCGGGAGAACGAGGTCGTGGTGACGGATTCGGAGGCCGGGGCCCTGTACCGCTTGGCAGCCGACTTTGGGAAGGGAAAGCTGAGGAAGCTGCAGGTGATCCAGTCCAAACTGAGCAGCCCCAGAGGGGTGGCTGTCGCGCAGGCCTCGGGTGCCATTGCTGTCATAGAGCACCTCAGAGCCAAAGGAGCCAACAACAGCAGCACCCGAGTGAAGATATTCAGTGCGGACATGAAGCTCATTGGCCAGATGGATAGCTTTGGGCTGAACCTCATCTTCCCCTCCAAAATATACGCAACGGCTGTGGCCTTTGACAAAGAGGGTCAAGTTATAGTAACAGATGTATATAACCAGGCTGTAGTATGTCTAGGGAAACCTGAGGAATTTCCTGTTTTTAAGCCTATAATCAGCCATGGACTTTCATATCCTGTAGGACTGACTTACATGGCAAATAATTCCCTCGTTGTTCTAGATGGTGGAGATCATTCAGTAAAAATATATAGCTCTACCTGAATGCGCTTAGGGTTTTTACTGATGTAGATTCGTTCTGTTTTCGGCCACGAAGCAAGATAAGTTACAGTTTTAGTAGACAAGTAGGTGGGAGGTGTCTTCTGGCCTTTGAGTGAAGTTGCCCTCCTTGAGCTGCATCAAGACTCTTGTCTATCTGTGTGAGAAAACTTGACCGTTGCAGGCAGCACTCAACAGTGAAACAACCAACCAAGTAACCTGCCATTTTAAAGCTGTGTCATCTCTTGGCAACCAAACATTTCTGTGTCATTTTGGCAATAGTATCAATGTTGGGAATGGAGTAATCAAAGGCCTGCCACTGAGAGCAAGAGAATGATGCAGCTTTAGTTTACCTGCATTAGCATTTATTTTTCATTGTTCGTTCTTAAGCAGGGAGATGCTCATGAGAGTGATGGAGAGATTTCTGTTTCTAGTATGTCTGCAGGAGAAAGGAGATGGACTTGATAGATGGACAGGAGAAATAAATGTTTCAGTTCTGAATCCAGCTAAGGTCAGTTATAACAGAGGAGGAGCTATTGCTGATTAGTGAGTTACATGATATGAATTGCATTTTTTCCCCTGTAGTAGGGGATTTACTAATGGATACCATGAAAGATAGAGAGAGGCGATATTTGGAAGATGTGTTGTCATCATTACATTTTTAAGGGGAAAAAATCCGCTTTACTTGTGGCAGCTTTTATGAGCTATAAGTTAAGTACGAATAGTTAACTTTTAAACCATGCTAAAAAGGCATAATCTTAAAGTTTGAAAATATTGTGATAGATGAGTATTTATTCTCTGTACTAGTTTACTACCACCTTCATTAGAGTGGTACTGAAGCACTTGCACTTCTGTAAGAAGAAAGTCTGTCTGCATGCAGACATAATGTTCTGTGTAAGCTTTCTCTAAAAGCTTAAAGGCATTTAGACCTCAAGCACTTCTGCATATACAAAAGTGAGTTGGCCATGTTGCTTGCACAGGTACTTTTGCAAGATTCCCAATACTATCTATTATCTGTCTTATCATTAATATATTTCTATGTACACTGGAAAATTTCAGTATTGATGAGCAGTAGAAGGGAAAGAAGAATGTAAATCTATTCTTTTTCAAGCAGATTGGATTTATGTCTTCTTGAAAAGAGTTTCACTGTAGACATTAGTTTTGTTGCCTTATTGAGCAATGGAAAGCAGAGTATATCTGAATTACTTTATAAAAGCTTTTAGCACTTGCAGTAGGAAGCGACTGCGGCATGTTCAGGCATTTATGTGCTGCTAAAATAATGACTTATATTGTTAGCACTGCAAGGAAGTTTGATGAAGATATAAATGTTTTGTGAGATAGACAGTTGCATTCAACTTTTCTGGTCACTTGTCCACCGAAATTATGAAATGTCATTTGAGATCAACATGGAGACTTTCAGTTAATTTTTAAACTGTTTTTTGGTCTTATTTTGAGGGCATACAATAATTGCACATAACGTTGCCCCAGCGATTTGCCAGATTCTTATTTTAAATTGGAGCATTTTTAGCCCTCTAATTCAGACAATGTATTATTTTTATCTTACGTTGACATGTAAAAACAAAACAACCTAACCATTAAATGCACTTATTTGTAAAGGTTAATTCAATGGTGATGTGCCAATAAAGTGGGATTTGTTTACACCTATACTGAACAGTTTAGTGGAAACAACACAGTTTTATTATCATGAGTGTCTCTGTTAACATCTAGTTTCTCTAATTGCCGTGTATCGATGTGTACGTGTGTGCATACTTTATTTATTTGGTGAATTTATTCTACTAGAAAGTTACCGGGCGATTTATTGCTTTTGCAAAATATATGGGCCTGCACACTGGCTCTTTTCTAACCTTGTCTCCTGCCAAGCCACACAACACTCCCTCTGGTGGGAGCAGAAATGCTCCTGGGATGTTCTGCACCAGAGGTGATGCTGCCACGGATAGAAGACCTTGTGAGGGGTCAGGAAGGAAACTTAGTGAGGGAGGCAGGCTCACCTGGATGATATGTTCTTTTCTAGATGCCGAGAAGTCATCTGTTTTTTGGATAAAAAAACAGCTGGATAACACTTCCTGTGAGGAACGGCTGTGTTTCTAGGTGCATATAATATCATGGGTGCTTTATTCATACATCATCAATGGCTCATAGCAATAGCAGCTATGGTATATGACTATAAGTCGCTTGAGGTTGGAGTTTGTAGGCGAAGTAAACATTGTGCCTTTATTCCACATAGTCTGCACTCTGCTGTCTGCAGCAGCCTGTGCTTTACCTGGTGAAGGCAGGTGTGTGCATTTTTGCTGAAGGATGCCGCTGTTTTCCCTTTGCTGTAAAGCACAGCCTTCTACAACAAATCTGTCGAGGAAAGCGTTGAGTTCAGTCTTACGTCATTTTATTTGGGTGTCTAAATTGAAAAGCCATGCAGTACTATATAAAGCCCTTATTTAGAGTTGTTCAGCATATAAGGGAAAACGCAGCAGTAAACCAACAATCTTTCTTTTGTCATACTAGAGGATTCATGACATAAGGGGGGAGAGGGATCTCCCAGTGTGTGGGTGGTAAATCAAAAAGCTTTGACTTTGACCCACTCTAGTTTCTCTCTCTATGCATATAAGCACACCTTCGCCATGGGTATTTAGATACATTACATTCAGGATGACACCATTGCACCATCTGTTTTTTTGAAGGCCAAAGGGACAAGTACTGTTCCTGTCCAACTGGAAGTCAGTTGGAATTTAGTCACAGATTTCAACAGAACAAAACTTTGGTTCTGAGAGAGGGAGGCAAAGTGTGAGGAACCCATGAAGATAGAATTTGATCTGTCTTGCTGGGCATGTTCAAAACAGAGATAGCTAAATATGTCCTTACCCTTGGAAAAGAGAGGTATGATTTTCATCTGGGCTGCACATTTATTTAAAAAAACAACCAAAAAAAACCCAAATACCATGGACAGTGTTACCTTAACGTCAACTCTTCAGCCTCTACTGCAGGTTATGTCTGCTGTATGCACCCAGAGGTTCAAGTGTGATTTATTTTTAAGGTCTGTTCTCAGATTGCTAGCGCTGCGTGAAAATATAGCAGGGTAATTTTATAATGTCTAGCAATAAAGAGATAAGAGGGGTTTCAGAAAAGTGAATCTAAATTGTGTCCTATAATGTAATTATTTTTTATTTTTCCTTATCTAAAATTGTTTTTGAGGAAAAGATATAATTATTAAGATTATAATTATAATTTTAATAATTATAGTTTAATTATAACGATTAAGACCTCCTGTAACATCCAGCCCCTAAACTACTACAGAGCAGGATCCATCTAGATTAGGGTCTTGAGAACAAAAAATATTTCCATCTTGGCGGGGTTGGCGGAGATGTAAAGCAACTTCTTCCATGTGACAGAGGTGAAAAAAAAAATGGCAAAGCTGGGCAGACCAAATTCCTGTGCAGGAGCGCTCTGCTGCGCCCTGGCCTCGGCTGCGCCGCTTCTGAGGGAGATGGGGACGTGCTGCTTTGGGGCAGCTGTACAGACAGCACCAATGCCCGTCCTGCATCCGCATTTCGAGGGCGCCGGAGAAGACAGTTATAGCAGATGAAGAATTATGGAAGAAAAATTGCATTATCTCAAAGATTTTCACATCATTAAAACCCAATACTTTTTGAATGAGTTTCCCTCTAACGTTGCTTACTCTATATTATATATTCGTATATAACAAATGAATACATTGTTTAAATAAACAGAGCAGGCATAGAAAGGGGCACAGAAGGTAGTGTCCTCTTACAGGCATTGTGCGCCAGGTTTCACATGGTGGAGTTTTTCTAGCTTTATTTTCAGCATGATGAGGACACGCTGCTTTGGAAGAGACCGGTGTGTACGTCTGTCACCTGCTGTGTCCTTGCTAATCTCTGATGAGGAGTTTGCAGCTTCAGGATGGCTGGGAGCACGTAGGTCCATCCTGACCTTCATGAAGTTTGGTTCATGCTCCTTACTGCTGAAAGAAGAGCATGCTCTGTGCTGCTCTTTGCTTCCAGTATCATGGCTGGACACTCAGGTTTTGTTTTTGCGTTTTTCTGATATGCTGATTCTGATCAAATTCTGGGTGCTGCCTCCTGGTGTTCAGAAAGGTGCTCGTCTTCAGCTTGAGCAGAGATGCGCAGTGCCACAGAGGCTCTCCCTAACCAGACCTTTACTTAGCCCATGGGCTCATAGCTTCTGCATGATTTTCCTAGGTAAGTTCAGAGCTAAAACAGACAAGGCTTCTCTGCTCCACTGCTTTCCAAGAGCCCTACAGGATTTTTGAACTTGGCCTTCCAAACACAGCATACATGTTCTGGCTCTGCCGTTGCCCACGAGAGCTGCAGATCAAGGGAAAGCGTTGGCAGATTTGGCACTACATCTCAGACTTCCCATTACAAGGTTAGTACTTCAACAAAGGAGAGTCCGTGTTTAATTATTGTTTAGTCTGGGACTCACCTTCTTGATTTTGTAAGGACTTTAGACATTTTACTGGTAGTCTTGTTGTTAATTCCCTTGGTGTTCCCTATAAATGATGAAAATGTATAATGAGTTTCACAGTATATTCTTGAGTAATTGCTTCCAGTGTACTCCACAAAGCTGTGTAGTCACAGAGCTTGAAGACACTGTCTGAGGAGGAGGTGGCCTACCCTGTTGCAGTGATCAAGTTTCTTACTACATTTTGAGAAAAAGAATTAGAAGAGATTGATTCTGAAGAGGACGAAAAAATAAATAAAAAAGGCTGTCTGGGCTTAAATAGAAGGGGAACTCCCATGAAATCAGAGCGCTGAGCACACCCACTGTCCAGTAAAGGGCACGCATTCTTTAGACATGAAGCAGCTCAGCCTGGAAAATGGGCAAGCAGATAAGGGAAGGGCACTTGCCTCTTGGTTAGTATTGAGCTCCAGGATTATAACTCCAGGGGAATAACCTACTTTTAAACAGATTTCACAGTTAGGTGCTTTTCAGATGTTAATACTTAAGAACAC